TGCTTTAATATGTTATTGTATAGGGTTATAAGTCTGATTTTTAAAGAGTATGGAAGATTTTTTAGGAGGGGGACTCGGACTCTTCTAATGTAATGGGAGATTCTATCAATGTAGCTTCGAAACTCGGGGATGGGTTGTGGTATGTTTGAGAAATGATTTGATTAGAAAATGTAACAAAATTCGGATGAGAGTTGAAATTTTTGGAGTTGTTTGACCATGTTTGTGGAAAGTTTTCTGCAATATGCTGGGGATCGTAAATGGGACATACGGGAGATTGAATGAAATCGATTTTATTTTGTATRTGTCCTCCTGAAAGAGGTTTGATGTCATTCCATATTTTTTTAGAGTTTGAAGTGATTTTTATATTCGCTGTTAATTTTTCAAGGGCTATGCGTTTAGCAGACTTTAGTTCTCGTCTGAAGTTAGAGTTTGCTTTTTTGTATCTAATTAAGGTTTCAGTTGCTACGTTCTGTTTGAATTTAGACCAAAGGGTTTGTTTTGTACTTTTCAAGATAGTTAATAGATTGGACCAATACGGTAGTTTGGCGGTACATATTTTTGTGCTAGTTTGGGGAATTGAGATATGTGCAGCGGATCGAATAATCCTTTTTATTTTTGATGCTTCTGCGTTTATCTTCTCTGATACTATTTCAGCACTTGCTGGTGTGTTGAGCAGGGAGCAATATTTTAACCACTCAGCTTTTTCTGTAAGAAATTTTGACCTCGGCTTAACGATGTATAGCATCGGGGTGATGAGGGTAGTTATGATAGGAAAGTGGTCGCTATTGTGAAGGTCTTCTAGAGTATAAGATCTGATCTTATTTATGAGCTATGGAAGCTGAACAAAGAGCAATGTCTATGTGAGTGAAAGTTTTGTGGGAGGAAAAGTGAGTTGGTGATCTATCGTTAAGAACAAATAAGTTTTTTGAGAGAATGACATCTTCCACTATTTGGCCCCTTCCATTTGAGAAGGTAGATCCGCAAAGGGGGCTCCAAGCATTAAAATCTCCAATGATTATTGTGAGTGCAGGAACAGCGTTAATGACACCTATAAGTTCTCCTGCATTAAACTTTTGATTCGGAGGGATGTAGCATGTGACTATGGAAAATTTGAAACCGATGTTAATTTCTATAGCAATGACGGAAATGTTGGATAAGACTAGGATACGTTTGTGTTTGATATGTTTTTTCATAAACAGGGCAATGCCTTGTTTAGCTGATTTGTTTTGTGGTAGGTTATGGAAATAACCAATGTATTTGTGAGGAGTATACGCCGTTTTGTTTGCTGGGAGGTGAGTTTCCTGTAATGCAATTACGTGCGGTAAAAATTCATTTATGAGTATATTTAAATCTGGATAATTGTTAAATAGACCTTTCAAATTCCACTGAAGAATTCTCATAATCTCTTTTGTGATGAGGGTTGTGTGGGTAATGGGGCGGCGGGAGTGTTACTGAGGTGGGTGATCAAGTTTGAAATGAGTGAGGTTGTTGCGTTGTAGTCAAAAGGTGTTACTGTTGAGTCTTCGACTGCACTTGTTGTTGGAAGCGAATGAGTTGAATTTATTTGATTTATAGTGCTTGATACATTTTCTTCGTTGTTTGTGCTGATTGTTTTAGAGTTGGAAGTTGTAGGTGGAACACCAAGCAGAACAATATATCCAGCTATTTAACGACGCAGTAAACACTTATAAACCAGAGTGAAAAATTATATACATCGATGGATCAAAATCGGACACCCACACTTCGTTTGCAGTGACAAACGACCAAGGTGTCATTATAACCGTCGGTGTTTACCACCGTACTGCTCTATACTTACAGCTGAAGCGGCTGCGATATACGAAGCGGTGCTATTTATTCCACAATCTAAAGAAAAACACATAATATGCAGTGATAGCAAATCGACAATTACTGCGCTGTTGAATGATACAAATAACTCAGTACTGATCAAGAATATAAAAGATATTTTWTACAAACACAAAAACATAATCAAGATCATGTGGATCYCTRGACAYGCTGGTATTAGAGGCAACCAACTTGCAGACGATCGCGCCAAAAAGGCGAGTAGAGAACCAGTTTTCTCGTACGCACACGTCACATCAAAAGATATTCGAAACCTAGTAAAAACAGAGCTTTACGAGTCAAACTCTAGAGACTGGATAAATTTTCAACACCAATACAAGGAACACAATCGCACTGGTGTCAAGCCAAACTACCCATCCGACTGTTCCTGCCAATACATAAAAATATTGTGCGCCTTAGAATAGGTCACACTTTAAGAACACACAATTATCTGTTGAACAAAGCAGATAAACCTAGCTGTTCACTTTGCAATCATGCAAACGACTCAGTTAACCACATCCTAAACGACTGCACCGCACTAGCACAAAAAAGAAAAACCATCTTTCGAAACAGGGAACCGTCCCGTCTCCTGAAAACACCAAATATTGACAACATCAATGCTATCAACAATTTTCTTAAGATATGTAAAATAAATAACATTTAATGTTATAAGCAAATAAAAACTAAGTATTAATTTTACACTTAATTTTAATTAGACATAACTATTGTAATAGATAGCCGAAGGCCCTAGTAGCCAGTGCTTAATCTTTGTGTATTATTATTAATAATTACTTCTCATTTAAATAAATAAAAAAATAAATACGTTTTGTCCGTACGTAATGATCTGTGGAATAACTGTAGATTTGGTTGGTACTTCTAGAGGAAGTTGACGAGATATGTCCGAAAAGTTTAACAAAATTTTCGGAAATGGCATATTTACGAGTTGAAATAATTGGCATATTGATTGGTTTTATCGGCTTCAAAAGTTTTAGTTTAGAAGGAATTATTAGGGCAAATTTGTATCCCGTTATATTAACTACTTGTTGATTTGTACACTGAAAAGTAAAAGAATCAAACATAATTTAAAACTGTGCTACATGGGAAATAGGCAGATTGCACCCATTTTTGCACTGTGACATGGAACATGGAACTTGAGAAAAATGTCACGTACTAAATTCAGTCGAAATCGGTCGGTCGGGTCCTGAGATATGTGATTTCACCATAAAGTGGGCGTAGCCAGGCCCATCGTTACATTTTCACAGCCTTCTCATGCCATAACGGGTATAAAATTTAGTGTCTCTGGGATATAAAGAAAGTTTCTCAAAATATTGGTCCTTAACCGATTGAAGAAGCGTCGAATACTCCATTTGGAAAAGCTGTAAATGATTACAAGCTACTAAAACTTAGTGCTAGAGACAATTTAAGAACGCGGGAGTAATTTCTGATTATTTAGCCAACATATTCCCCCATATTTGATAATTCTACTGTTTCTAGTCAAGAAAGCGAAGAAATCGGAAGATTCACATGCAATGAGCCGAGTGTGAAAATCAAAACCCTGAAAAACAAAAACTCCCCGGTTACGACCTGGTTACTACCGGTTCCAAATCAGCTTCCTGTAATAAGTATTGTAAAAGTTACTAACATTATTAACGCGACTTTTCATCTTAAACACTTTCCAGCTTATTGGAAAATTGCTTAAGTTATCATGATTAGAAAGGTATGATGTGTCCACTTACAGGACCATATTGCTTTTACTGACAATGTCGAGTCTTAAAAAAAAAAAAAATTATCGTAAATCGTTGCAATAAAATCAAAGAACGATAATTCCAACACACGAATTTAGGTTTTGATCCCTTGTACAATTAATCAAATCCACAAATTACACGTAGTTATTACAGAAAATCCTTTTGAAGAAAGTATGTTCTATCGTGTTTTTAGATGTTGCAAAGGCGTTCGATAGACTTCGCCATAGAGGTCTGCTTTCGAAATTGAATTTTTCTCTATATTCTATTCACGCACGACCTGGAAGTTGAATCACAAAACTGCCACATTTAGATATATAGATACTACCTTGTTGTTTAGTGTAATTAGTAGTGAGCACGAATCAACTACTAATCTCCAAAAAGCAGTCTCAAATAAAACTCTATGAAGCTAAGTCTATACACATTTTTTCACCTGCAATAAAATTTTCATAAACGGTGTACGAACACGGTCCTTCAACTCCGCTAAATACTTGTAAATGACATTTGACTCTAGCTATGCTGGAAAGTTGGTATGAAGGTATGGTGCACAACTCTGGGGATGTGCTAACGCAAATTACAAGAAAGTTATCCTACAATTCCAAAACTTAATACTCAGACTAATTGCCAAAGGACCTTGGTGCTGATATAGGGTATAATGGGCGAAAACTCGAAAAAGCAGTACCCAGGCCTAAACTCGTAAATATTAAAAATTTCAGCAGCACATAAAACAGTATTGCTAAACCATGGTACCAAACAAGCAGCCATGTTAACTTCTAGAAGTGGACCACCGAATCAACACAAATGCCTCAAAACCCAGCGATATTTCAAACTATTCAAATAAATCATGTTAAAGTTGCCTGTTAGTTTCTCTCAAAACTTTTCAATAAGAGTATGCAACTGTCTGAGAACCTACATATAGTATGTAAGTATATGCTACAATGTTGGTAGAGAGGACAATTTATTTGAGTACTGTCTTAAATAACCCGTAAACGATGTGTGATTAAATGATTAATGTGTTCCTGAATATCGACAAGGTTTGAACATGCGTACTATTTTTCTAGACATATTTTTGTGTTAAATAGTGCAGTTGCCTCTAGTTTTTGCCTACATCTTTACTAAACAATGGGATAGTCGATTCGCCTGCCTTTTTACGAGTGTGTTAATATATGCATATAAAAGCATAAATCCATATAAGTGTTTGCATATTTGCATATATGTATATATATATATACTGAACATACATATATATACACTTTTATACATTGTTGCATACATATACATATGAGATGTGTATGGGGAAGAATAATTAGTCGGCTAGAAACTGAATGTTTAAACAAGGGCATGCGCGTAAACCTTTCACATTTTCTCACACTTCCTCGCATTATATCTCTTGTCTTTCTATGAAGTGCGCCTGTCCGGGAGCAATGTGTTTTTCGGAATTCCCTTTCCCCACATTAAGTGCTCTCTCGGTCCATACGTTTTCGCACGTTTTATGCGAAATCTACATTTTAGGCTTCGGAGTTTTGTGAGTCGGCTAAAGTGCGAAGAATAGTAATTGGTAACCAACCGATACAGGAGTATATTAAATCGAACATTTTAGTGTTTGGTTCGCTTGCTCTCCTAACGGAAGAACAATCAAGAAGCGTAACGATATAGAGTACGAAAACTCCTACAAACCGCCGACGTGGTCGTTCTTAATATGCACTTATAGCGTATTGAAAATTCTAATTCAGTGACTTAAGACAATTTATTCTAAAGAAGGTGAAAATTCTAATCTGGATTAAATCTTATTAACTTATTTAAAACAAGTGACAAATATAAAAGTTTGTAAAATTAATATTACAATTGTTAACTAAATAATTAGAAACAGTTATTAAACCAGAAAAGTTATTAAGCATATATAAGTATGTATCTCCTTACATTGTCTTATATCCTAAATACATTTACCTAGGTTCCAACTTGCCAATCAAATATGTGATTATTCGGACTTTCAAATTACTCCAGCTTTCAGAAATTATATTAAATATTTAGTGCGATGAAGTTTGAGTGAAAACTGCTCAAAATATTGACCGAATTTGGAAAGTATTGGAACTTTTAAAATAAATAAGAAATTATTGACGTTTCGAGTCTATAAAGGTAATATGTAGAAATAAGCGAATGAGTATAATTGAATGAGTAAGTTGAAAAGCAAAAGTATAACGAAAAGTTGATGTTAAGAAATGTCGAAGCCTTTATAAATAAAATGGGGTGATTAAAAGAAAAAAGCAAAAAATATACTAGATAACAAATAACACATCTTTTAAGGAGGTTAATTCCATTTTTATTAATATATGGGTATTATAGAATCCTTTGCATTTTTTTAAATTTTATGCATTTTCTTATGAATTTGAAATACTACAACGTAATATACATAAGTATATATAATATATGATTTCCTATAAAATTTTACGCAAATTTCCCAGCAAGTTCATATTTATCAGTCTATATATGCGTTATTTATTAATAAAAGCATAAAATGCAATTAGAAAGCCGTTTGAAAATATAGATGAGAAAGAAAACAAACACACACAAAAAATTAAGGCCAAAATGAACAAAATTAAAAGTTTTCATTGTTTACTATACTATACGTATACACAAGCTTTATTTGGCCGTGCCCAACTCCACTGGGAAAAGTGAACCATAAAACTGTATTTTCTTTAATTTGGATTGACAAATTTTTTTTAGTGTTTCCGAATAGAATTCTGTTTTGTAATATATGTCGGTATGTAATATTTCAATACATTAAATATGTATCACCCATGCGCATTGCATGGACATAATACTGTATGTACATGCAACAGTTGTTGTTTATTGATTTTTTACTATTTTTTTCTTAATTGCTTGGACTGATACTTATCCCAGTAAGCATAACTATATAAACTTATTGATGCTTTGCCCGTGATATACAATACACTGGCTATCATTCTTAGTGCCTCCATGGCTGACATACATACAAATGTATATATGTACTTATATTCCATGTATATGAATAGAACAAAACTAACTCGATAAATAGTGAAGTATCTTAAGCGATTAGCGCAACAATGTATGGGCTCTATATATACGTGTCTGTATGACGTTTCTCAAATTGATTGTTTATTACGAAAAACGAAAATAAATGTACTACAATTGCTATTAACATTAATTGGACAATAAACGCACGTTATAGTTATCATCGGTACACTATATATAATCGCCCAATAAAATATACATACACCCCTTCTGAGCTATCTATTCACAATAGAAAAATATATACCAAATGAAATCTATTTTAGAGAAAAAGTGTTTTGACTATTATATATATATTTTTTTCGTCTAAATTAAGAGTCTTTTTTCAAACCACAGAAAAGTCTATATACTTATTCCAATTCTAAAATGTGGATAAAATCAAACCTACATACCAGCTCCCTCAAGCATCCTTATTTCTAATTAAGCCAATTTCCAATTGTCATTGTGTTATTTGTTAAACTTGGTTAAGAAATTAGTGTTGAAGTAACGGAAAGTATACAAAGTGGGGTGACGTCTTAGCTTGACATGTTGAACTTACAGCGGTTATGCCTATGTCATACATGTGGTAAAAATACTATACTACGAACGAATACCAGATATCTGTCACCACATACGAGCACTTGACCTCAAGGAACTTTGATAAAAGCTTTTGCATAAAGTCTACAAAATGACAATAAATAAAGTAATAAAAAAAAGTTATGAAGCTATGAAAGTTGCCTTTTATATTTCGGGATAAATGAAACCAATTAGTACTCATCGAAAATCGGTTTATTGTTTTTCACAATATTCTCAGTTAAGATCTATATACACAGTTTGCATTTGTTTGAACAAACTGAAGAAGTACTTTTGCCACTCTCATCCCCAATCATGCATTCTAAACGCATCAACCGACTTTTATGTGTCGAAAATTTTTAATTCTTAGTTTATATTTTAGGTACAGAAATAAAAAAGCCATTTTTGCTGCGAAGTCAGGACTATACGGTGGATGACTCATCAAAGCGATTTAGTGAGTGCTTAAAATTACAATTATTTCAGTCGTTATATGAAAGCTCGTAAAGTGTGATCCGTTTTCGGCGATAAGTTTTCCTGATTGTTTGGAAGGTAATTGTCAAACAAATGGTTGTGTACTACACTTATTGTTCTGCGTTGTTCTAGTGGAATAGTTGCGACAGGTTTTTTTGGATTTACCTAGCTTATCTTGAAACACCCTTTAATGACTTTTTCTTTCGGGCAGGTACGCGTAAATCCACAATTCTTCACTTGTTACGATGTTATTGAAGTGTTTCGAAAGACCGCTATCGTATATTTTTAACAATTATTTTGACCAATCGCTTTGAGTGATGGGCAAATTGTGTGGGAGGTGAAAACATTTTTTTTACTGTCAAATGTTCTTGTGAATTAATGCTGATACCATTAATGCCTAAAGTTTTCGCAACAACAACTAATTTTAGAATTCACCATATAACGTTAAACACTGGTCATTGTAGGAGCTTTATCCCCTAACATTTTATTAAGTTTATCAACGCATTGCTGCGTAGTTAAACCACGTCGAAAGTTATAAAAAAATCGGGCAAAAATGTTTGTGATTTATATAATTCCATTTTTTGACTGAGAACAATATTTTCAGTTACTGTAACAACACAGTGCTATAGAGTATATAACATCAATAATATCAAATTTTACGATGCCTTTAGGAGTAGCCAGATCGCTACACCAGGGTTGACAGGTCGCGAAATATAAAAAAGCAATCCACCTTTAAGTGTCATCAATCGTAATAAATAAAATCTAATAGACCTTTATGGTATCTTTTCATGTCTGTTTCTTGCATAAAATTATTTTAATGCCTACCCTACAAGACGGATAATACTTTCAGAGCTGGAGTGGTTTCGTCCATTCGTACGACATACGTAGATACAGCTCATCGTTCCATCGAATGCGATATTCGCCGTAGCCAACACGCAAAGGACCATAAATCTTTCGCAGATCATTTCTCTCGAAAACTCGTAACGTCGACTCATCAGATATTGTCGTCGTTCATTTCTCTGCGTGAGCGACCTATAGAGTTTGATTTTTGTTCGTCGAGATAGAACTTTACTTCTCAATTGCCTACCTAGTCCGAAGTAGCAATTGTTGGAAAGAGTTAATCTGCGTTGGGTTTCGACTGATATTGTTGTTGGTGATAATGCTGGTTCCAAGATAGACGAAATTATATACGACTACGAAGTTATGACTGTCAATAGTGGCGTGGGAGCCGAGTCGCATGTGCGACAGCTTTTCTTTTGATGACAAGGGATATTCCGGCTTGCCCTTGTTCCCTACCAGACCCATTTGCTTCGCTTCTTCATCCATTCTGGAGAAAGCAGAACTAACGGTGCTGTTGCTGAGGACAATGATATCAACATCATCGGCATAAGCCAGCAGCTGTCCACTCTTAGAGAAGATGATACCTTCTCTGTTAAGTTCTGCTGCTCGAATTATTTTCTCCAGCAGAAGGTTGAAGACGTCGTATCCAACGGCTTGGAGATGATGCATGCTCCTTCTCACTTCTCTGTTGCCGTGTTTGAATAGCTTGGCCGGCAATCCGTTTGCCCCCACCGCTTTGTTGTTTTTCAGACGGGTAATTGCTATTCGAACTTCTTCATGGTCGGGCAATGGAACGTCTGCTCCATCATCATCGATTGGGGAATCGGGTTTGCCCTCTCCTGGAGTTATACTTTCAATGCTTTTCATGCTGGGGAAGTGCCCCTCCATAATTTTAATATGCTCTGGGGATCCGTCTCTAGATCACCTCTGGAGGTTCTACAAGAGTATACTCCGGTCTTGAAACCTTTTGTTAAGTGCCGTTTTTTCGTGGAATTTTTGAGCATTACCACTGTCGGACTGCTTGTCAAGCTCTTCATACTCACGCATCAAAATTTTTCTTTTCCGGTCTGCAAGTGCGTCTCGCTTCCTTTTTAGATCTCGGTATCTATCCCGTGGTACCAGCAGTTATTTTGCATTTTTCGAAAATCAATGGTTTCGGTTGCAGCCAAAGTTCCCTTATACCGAGTTGTTGACGAGTGCCCTCAGAGTGCAGGAGTGCAAGTCAAGTAGAAAATCGTTCAGCTGTCTGTTGTTATTTGCAGCTTTGAGACGTCGCATCTTCTTTGTGCTTGTTGAATCTTTTCTGACCACTTCTACTTCTAAACATGACTCCATCCTCCCATTTTGCACACATATAAAGAAAATAACAAATAATTTCAGTAGTCTTTCCATTCAGCTGATTTAGTGCATAATTTTTACCACTAATTGCCTTGAAAAAATTATATAAAAACTTCATATAATTGCCTGATTTTTTTTGTCACAGTTAATTCAACCCACCAAAAAACGAGATGTTAAATAATTGTATGCACTGCAGAGCATCAAAGTTCAACAAAACACACTAAAATAGAGCATTGAACCAACGTCAAGCGCATCATTTTTTACTTGCAAATACAAGTAACATTCGTCTTTGCAGATAACGTGTATCAAAGAGAAGCTTCACGACGCAGAGAACGTAAAAATATGTCTGTCCAACTAGCATAAGATGAGCGTATTTTACCATAGCTAACTCGGAAGGAGAAATTTTAACATTGGCACTTGAATAGAGAAATACGTATTGCTATTACAGACGTATTTGAGCTTTTTGCATATATTTTTATACGTTGCAATGCAATGCAAATCTTATACATATGTGATCTGGTCTACGAAAAGGGAGCTAACGTGCGAAAACTAGTTTATGACTTTTTGAATTCTATCATGTGAAAAAGCATCTCATCTTCCATCCGAATGAACTAAGATTTTTTGAGACCTAAGCCCCCTTTCCGTAGACCAGGTCACATATAATAATAATAATAATAATACCCAACGATTACCCTCCTCCCGCCCAACCGACGCGCGGGGCGCAATCCGCGAACGAGCGGAATTAGCCGAGTCATAAAAGGCAAG